CGTGCAGGTGTGTGTCCGTGCGTGTGTGTTCGTCTGAGTGCGTGTTTGTGTGTGTACGTGAGTGTGTATGTGTGTGTGTGTGTGTGTGTGTGTGTGTGTGTGTGTGTGTGTGTGTGTGTGTGTGTGTGTTGCGCGCGCCCAGAAAACGGAGGCGGAGAATGGAGACGTGGAGGCGGAGGTGAATGCAGCGTAGTTTGTGGTGAAGGCGGAGGAGAGGAATTTGTGGTGAAGTCGAAGATAGTGGAAACGGGGAATTGTGTTGGAGGTGGAAAGAATAGTGACGGCGCGTGGTGATGGCGGTGGTGCACTGGAGTGTAGTAAAGTGGGTACCACGTGAAAACAATTGAGGCTCATATAAAGGACAGTTGGTTACAGCGAAAAACAGTGTGGCTGGTAAGTGGATATCGATACCGCTCCTAAAGATGTTACTAAGAGATTATTCATTTTTCCGAATATCAGCTTGGATACCTATTGGTACTGGAGACAAAGTGAAAAGAACTTTTGTTTTGTAACGGTTTCATCGTAACTAACAAAACTAAACCAAACTCGGCATACCTAGTTCTACTACTCCAGGTGTTACAGTGTTAGTAACCGAATTACATTATGAGGTCATTCCATCAAGACCGGAGGTAAGGTCTCATGATAATATCTCATGTAATAGTTCGATTCTATACCTATCAATTTTGTAAACGCCCTAAAAATCTTGATTATGAAGATGTAGAAAACATGTTAACTGGTTTATGGTAAACACACACACACACACACAAACACACACACACACACACACACACACACACACACACACACACACACACACACACACGCGCGCGCGCGCGCGCACCTATATACACACATACACAGACACACACACGCACGCACTCAGACGAATACCTTATGTCGCCGTTGCCACCGTTTTCGCTACAAGAAGGGGCGTTGTCCAGAAATTCGTTAAAAAAGTCGTTTATTTTGACCACCAGGTTCATAGATGTTAGTAATAATACAAATCTTAAAACTAATTTTCGTAAAACTTAAAACTATTTACCTAATTTTAAAACTATATATAAGACAGGCCCGATTAGTCAGCACGTGCACCATATGACAATGGTTCAGGTACTGACCTCAAACCTGTCAGAAAATGCCCTCAGGATACCATTGGAACTTGCCCGCACCCTGCGCACCAGGGATGTGCATAGTTTACGCATGGTAGTGTAGAAATAATCCACACGCGCATGCGCGAACATACCCGGCGCATTACAATAACGAGGTAGACCAAATAGCACCCTGCATGCGTTACGTAACACGCATTTAATCTGTAGCTTGTACCGCCAAAGATACGAAACGGCAACGTCGCGGCTGCATTCAGCCAATCCGATCGTTTATCTTATCGTTTGCTGTGCTCTGATTGGCTCATTTAAATCGGATCAACATTTTCCGTAACCATCGCAAGGTGGATTTGTATAACCCGAACTTAATAACGTGTCTCTTTTTTTAAGATTAATGGCAATCCGAGATTGTACCCTATACAAAGATCGATCCAAATCCACATCCCAATAACATAACTTAACAAGCCCAATCTTTTTTTTGCGGCGATCGCAGTCGATCCAAACAGATGTTTGGATCGATCCGTTTCCTCTCGACTGTTTCGTTTTATGCATAGCGACTATTGCTTCTTTCAAATAGTTGTATTAATATAATAACATAAAATGTAATTTTAGATTTATAACTATTGACTTTAATTAGAAGTTATTACATTAACTCCCTTTTTTCTCCCTAAAATTATAAAATTATTATATTTTTATTTAAATCAATGTAACTATGTTTTGAAAACAATCACGTAACGGAACGCCGCCGTTCAGTAGCGGCCGCAGCGTCATCGGTCATCGTTCATCGCGTCGGTCAAAACAATTATCAAGTTTCACTGCTTCGGTTCGATCATTTGTATTCGTAATTCTTGACAAGCATTTCTATGTTATAAACCTTTTTTCGAATCAAACTAAACTTTGAAACAGAAATATTTACAGCAAATACTTTTTGAATAATAAAATAATGGAGCCACAAATAGTAAGTTAAATTGAAATACATTAGATATTGTATCATTTGATGCTTGATGAACAACTACATAAATCGCTTTTTTATTTCAGATAAAGAGCAAGCCACTTTCAAAAGATAAAAGCAAAGCCTTACTCGAACTTATTGAAATGAGCAAAATTATAATATCTAAAGCCACAAACGCCAGCAGCAATAAAATGAAAGACAAAGAGTGGGTACGAATAGCCGAGCAGTTTAATTCTACAGCAACAAGTTGTCGTCGGACACCACAACAGCTTCGGCTGAAATGGGAGAATTTAAAGAAGAATGCACGTAAACGTTGCACTAAAATAAGAATGAACAGTATAAACGTTAGTTTCGTTGTTTATTTATTTTTAATCTAAGTATAAATAAATGATTATCCATTTTATTTACATTCTTTATTAATTTTATCTTTTTGATTTGCAGACTGGCGGTGGTGTTGGTGAGTATAAACCCCCAGAAAAAATAGTGGATCGTATTACCAGCTTATTGGGGAATACAGCTAGTGAATTAGTTGTTCCTTATGGGGGAGATAAGGAACCCGAGCACTTTGTAGTGATTAGTGATGATGGTGGTATTGTGCCAAATGGAAATGGTGTAGAGGAATTAGGTGGTGATGCTAGGGTCAATCTAGAAATCCTAGAGTTTCAGGACACACCAGTGCCAGATCCGCAAAAGGAAATGGTTGTGACCCCTACTTCTCCACATTCAGCAATGGCTCAGATTAACACCTATGCTGTTGCTGAACAAAATAAAGTTTCGGATACACCACGGAGAGTAACATTCAATGTTAGGAACAACACAACAAACAGGTAATGATTATTTCGATGTTGATAGAATTTTAATTTATAAGATAACAATTTCACATGGTGTTCCATTCGCTGAGGTGGTGGTATGGTCAAACTTGTAGTCCGCTTTAGTTTAAAAGCAGTGTAAATTGAGGTAAAATAGTAATAGGCAAAAGATATACTCCTTTTTTATTTTAAAAAAGGCTAACTTGTAATTTAATAAATTAAATTAATTTGTATTTTGTTATAGGATAGGGTGACAAACGAGCACACAGTCCACCTGATGGTAAGTGGTTGCTGTGGCCCATAGACATCTACATCTATCCTCAATTACGAATCAAAATGCAGATGCGTTATCACCCGTGAGGACTAAGATGGAATTATTTTACAGGTAAAAGGAAATTGCAGGGTGATGGGTCCAAATCTGCTAGAGACCGTGCCATTGCAGAATATTATACATTAAAAAACTGTGCCTGGAGTCAAAATTAGAAAATATAAAATTAGAAAATAAAAAACTTAAATTAGAAAATGAAAAACTTCTATTAGAAATAGAAAATTTTAAGAAATAGTTATTTGTGTAATAGTATGTAAGTGTAAAAAATAATTAAGTATTCTGATACATAAAAGACAGTCATGTCTGTAAGTAGTTGTTAATAAATTCAAGCTTTGTATGTATTCATAATTTGTAATATTAGTAGTTATATAGTTTGTATTTGAAAATTTTTCAAACTAATAAAATATGTATGTAATAAATGTATTAAAGTTAGATTAATGTCTTAGTAATATAGTAATTAAAGAGTAAAATCATTTTTATTGAATATTTGTTTTATTTTTACAATTAAATTCACAAAATATAAAGAAAAGTAACACTTGTGATCTCTTAGTTCTTTGCCTGCTAAATATCCTATAAATATTATTATTAGCAACTCGTGTTTAAATTGAACAAAAATTTAAAAAAGGGTAAGTATTTTTACTTACTTGGAGACCATTATGTGGATGATATGTGGTATAAAAGGAGGAAAAGGTAGTTACAAATTAAATATTTTTTTTATAAATGTCTAGGTATTATAGTAATAATTGTATTTTATTAGAGATAAATAATTTTTATTGATTTTTTAAATTTTTTTTAAAAAAATCAATAAAAATAACTATCTAATAAAAATTTACAAACTTTAATAAAAAATTAACTACTGATTCTACATTCAATTTTTAACATCAGTGCAAGCCTGCATCACATCACATTACAATTTGAATACATATTATTTGCACTCGCATCTCAAAACAGTTAACAAAAAATAGTTGCTTCATGCAGTTGGTAAGGAGACCGATGAGCTACATCGTTCATAAGCTTTGAGCTTGAATTTTTTCTTTAAATAAAATACATTTAAAGAAAAGTACCACTTGTGATTTCTGATTTCTAGTTAGTCGCCAGCACACAGTTACATGGAGACTATTATAAAACATAGAAGGTAGTTATAATTATTGACTTCTTTTATATAAATTTATCAATATTATAGTAATTAATGTACATTTTTATAATATACATTAATTACTATAATAAAAATTAAATAAATTAATAAATATAATTAAATTCACAAACAATTTATAAAGAAAAGTAACAATAGGAACTTCACAGTTTATTTCAATTTAACAATATTTTAAAAAGATTAAGTACTATTACTTACATATGTGGTATAGAAGTAGTAGAAGGCAGTTATAATTTAAGTTCCTTTTTATAAATATCTCAGTAGTATATTAATATAGTAATTAATTTTTATTTTTAATAGAGAAATTAATTTTTAATACTTGCTTTATTTTTACATTTGAATTTAAAACTAAGAAAATACTAACAATTTAATTTCTAACTTATTCTACATAATTTTTTTTTACCTGTAATGTTAATTAAGGGAGTTATTTGTCCAATGAGTGTCAACGTTTCTATAATGTAATAAAATAATTATTTATCAAATCAGCTCTATGGTTTGTTGGAATATCATTAACAACTATATTATGAGGCATTGTACTATTGTCGATAGATGGTAGTTCTACTTCAAAGGGGATTTCTGTGAGATTGTGATTTCTGCAAATATTATGTAGGACTTACTGCCTGCATATTTGGTGTTGACACACGTAGTGTAAAAGCTACAACAGGGAACCTACGTTTCCATACTCCAAATGCTCTGTAAAAAAAACTATTTGTTTATTAAACACCAGTATTCCCATAACACATTTTATGTAATAATACTGTTTTATTTAACATACCGTTCAATGGTATTTCTAGTTTTAATGTGTGCTTCATTGTACCTATGTTCAGCTTCAGAACAGGTGTTAATAAATATGGCGTGTTTGGATAGGCACTATCTCCAAGTAACCAGCGATTTCCGAATTGCCCTGCATCACATTCAGATGTTATAAAAATAAAGAATATTAGGCTCTGACAGTAAATATTCAAATTTATTACAATTTGAATACATATTATTTACACCTACCTCTCAGAATAGAGTTATTAAATATAGTTGCATCATGCGTTGAACCAGGCCAACGAGCCACAACATTTATAAATTTTAAGTCTGCATCACAAACACCTTGAACATTTAAAGAAAAGTAACCCTTCCGATTTCTGTATTCTTCGCCTACTAAATGACCTAAAATATATAAACATTATTATTAGCAACTTCATAGTTTATTCATATTTGCCAAAATTTTAAGAAGAGTTAAGTATAGTTACTTACATGGAGACTGTATGCGGATATGTGTGCCATCAATTGCCCCAAGCACGCGAGGAAATCCAGCAATTCTATAGAAATTATCTGCACTCCTTCGATGAACATAAATATATTTATCATATAATTGGGCAATTGCTGATGATGTGTCTCGCACTACTCTGCCTGCTGTAGATTTTGACACTCCAACAAAATCTGCTATGGATATCAACATTGTGCCTAGTGCATAAAACCGTAGGGTCAACAAAAGTTGATGCAATGGTGATACTCCGTAATTTCTGCAAAGGATTACATAAAATGAAGTATATTATATACTTAGATTGTAAAAAATTATCTAATTTGCTATAGACCAGCTTTGCTTTACCTCGTGGATGTTACTCGTAATAATGGGGTTATTTCTAACAATAAAGAATTGAACGCATGTTTGTTCAATCGAAACCTAAAGGTAAAATCACCGTCATCGAAACTTTGCGTATATTTCACTCTTCTGATTCTCTTTGGAGTGCGGCGTAGGGTTTCATCTTCATCACTCGAGTCAGATAACTGAGCTAGCATTTCCAAATCACTGTAACTGTCACTAGATAGTAATGTTAAATCCATTTTCGCGCAAATAAAATAAAACAAAATACGTAATCGGTTGGAACTCGAAGGATTAATCCTAGGCTTTTCTCGGATTGCGAATTTGGATTGTTTACACCGATCGAACTAAACGTCAAAATTGACAGATAGGTTATTGATACACACAAATTGTCATTCGCCCACAGAGGTCTATCTTTTTTTGTAATCCGACCTCCCGAGGATAGCTTGCTTCTACAGATTGTAATTTTAATCCCTGGATTGGTTGTTGGCACTGTCTAACCATAAAATGGATTGAATTATCAATCTTGGATAGCTAAAAATAGATTAAGATCGAATATTAGGTTCGGGCGTATATCGGATCAACAAAGTGCTCGCGTGAAGTCGCGTCTCTTCAACATTTACCGTAAAGAGATCTATATATATATAGTTATTAAGTCTGCTATTTTGCTGAATCTATTAATTTATTTGAAAACTTTATTTTATCAATCATAATTATTATAGCGGGTCATTAATACCAGCTGCCATAATCTGCCAGTAAACCCAAAGTGAGGTGAAAGGTAGTGGTAGATGGCTTAAATAACATATTCAGGTATTTAAAGTCTGGACAAAATCCAGCCGACGATTTCGACGACAGTTCGACGACGACGAGAAACATAATGGCAGAAATAAAAAATATTCCAAGAACCCATTATGAAAATAAAAATGAACTTATTTACTTGGTCAAGAAATCGGGAGAAATTATTAATATGAACATCCTCGACACGGACATAAAAGATATTTTTCGGCAAAAAGCTAACAATAAGGAATTTAGCCCAATAATAATTGATTTTAAGAAGCCAACCCTAAAGGAAAATTTTATACGGTCTGCCAGATTGTACAACATAAACAATAAAACTCAACGCCTAAACACTGAACTTTTAAATATAGAAGGATCCTCCAAGTACATTTTTATAGCGAAATACTTAACACCGCGGGCAAAAAGATAACACTATTTAGCCAGACAATTCGCGAAGGCTCTCAACTATGATAGTTGCTGGACTTCTTATGGCAAAATATGCCTACGCAAGAAAGACGGGATGCAAACAATTCATATGTATTTTTAGTTATTTTTTTCTAAATTAATTAGTCTTAAGTTATGTTTTTAACTTTATATCGAATACTTATTTTATTAACCTGTACATACACGCAACACATTTACACTACATAAAACACACTTTTAACTGTGTTCTTATATATGATTTGTCCAGTAATAATATTATAATATTACATATGTCACAGGTTTATGTGTTAGCTTTATGTGTTCTATTAGAATTAGTACTAGGAGTTACCAAATATTTTTATTCCTAAATATTAAATATTTATTTAGTACTAAAGTATTCATGCACCTTCAAACTAAGATCTTAATCAGTTTTTTACATCGAATTCATGATAAAAGATTGTATTTGTTTAAAAAAATTACAAAAGGCGAAATTATAAGGAATATAATTAACGATTTAGATACAATAACAACAGCAAACTCCTCATATTGCGATATAGAACACTGCTATAAGTACATTACAGGTAATAATTATCAACCCTTAAAACTTTTAATGAGAATGTGCGCAGCATTGGAAAAAATTACGATAATCTAATTACATTACTAACAAGATCTAAAATTAGTTTTGACATAATAATTGCGACTGAATGTTGGTTACAAAGTTCTCAAATAATACCACCTATTGAAGGCTACAGTTACAGTTACACGCTAAATAACAATACGCAAAATGAAGGAGTGATAATTTATAGTAAAATTAATTTAAATATATCAATTAGTGAACCAAAATTTATCGGCGCTAACTGTTTGCTAGCTAAGCTAAGTAACGATACAATTATTGTGGCACTTTATAGGCCTCCTATTCAAAGCGACGTCACAAAATTTATTGAATCTCTTAATTATTTATTACAGAAAATATGTTTATGTGAAAATATAATTATCGCAGGCGATATTAATATTGATATTTGTGACTCATGCCGAAAACTACTTGAACTTATTAGCCTCATTTGGTATCCTTTCTGCACATACCTTGCCCACTCACAATCGAACCTGTTTGGATCATATTATGTTTAAAACGAATTACAAAGCAATCTGCTGTGTGTCTCAGACAACAATTACAGATCATTACTGTGTTGTCTTGCTTTTAAATTTAAAAAATAATGAATATTGCACTAATTTGACTAAGAAAATCACTAATTACAATAATGTATACATAGAAATAAAAAATACTGACTTTTCATCAATTTTTAACATGTTTGATGTTAATGTTGCGATTGATTATCTGGTAAATTTTCTATCAAATATTATTGATTCATACACCAAAACAATTAATATCACAGCGAAAAATTATAAGAAAACGATGGATAACACCAGGACTTTTAAGATGCATTAGAAATAGGAATAATCTCCATAAAAAGGTCAGAAAACATCCAAATAATGAAGTCTTAAATTTGATATATAAAAGATACAGAAATTTTTGTAGCAAAATATTAGCTAATGTTACAAAAGACTGTGAAAAAAATAATAAAATAAGTAATAATACTAAATTATTATGGGAAACCATAAAAAAATAACACATTCAAAGAAAGCTAAAGACTCACCGACTGAATTATTATCAATATCAGATGACCCAAAAACCTCAGTAAATAAAATAAACACATACTTTGTTAATGTAGGTCAAAACTTATCTAAAGAGATAATTCAATAAAATAAAATAATCCGTACTGAAATAGGCCCCTTTTCAAAATCTATTGTTTTATTGCCAACGGATGAGAAGGAAATCGATCTACTTATATCGAATCTAAAGTCAGTTTGTGCAGTAGGACTGGATAATATCTTAGGTGACCTGCTTAAACATTACAAGAATTTATTATATTAAATACATTAATAAAGAAAATAAAAGAATAAATAAAAGAATATTATAAAGTTTTCTTAGCAAACCCATAACTCACATTTGTAATTTAGCTAAACCACTGGTAAGTTTCCAACAGTTTTTAAAAAATCGATTACAATACCTATTCTAAAGAGTGGAGATAAGCATAGTTTAAACAATTATAGACCGATTTTCTTGCTCCCATCAATGTCAAAAATCTTAGAGTGCTTACTTAATATAAGACTTACTAATTATCTAGGAAGTAATAAATTTTATTATTATCACAATATCAATTTGATTTTCGCCCCCAAAAAATCAACAGCAGATGCCGTACAAGAACTCACTGATTTTGTTGTAAAAAAAACCTTGATAAGAAACAAAAAGTCATAGCTATATTCTTAGATCTAGCAAAAGCGTTTGAGGCCGTCTACATTTCATTGCTTGTGAATAAAATTATATGGGCATTAGAGGCATACCTTTAGATCTTATAAAAGACTATCTAACAAATAGAACTCAGCAAGTTGGGGTTGATAATCATGTTAGTGAGCTATTGGCAAGTGTACTCACTGTAACATATAACGATCTCCTCAATATTAAAATTACACAAGGTAAGATCCTAAGTTTTGCTGACGATACAGCCCTCCTTTTTCATGCAAATACGTGGCAAGAAGTATATGCAAACGCTTAAATAAAGTATCTGACTGGCTAAAAATCAACATTTTAACATTAAATATACAAAAAAAAATATATGACTTTTACCATGCGTTCAACAAATAACATTAACTCTCAATATTCCTTAGGAGTACATACATGTTCAAAGCTGAAAACGTCACAATGTCATTGCAGTGTTATTGAGAGAGTAGATAATATAAAATATTTTGTAGTAATTATTGATAACAAACTCAGTTTTCATAGCCAGATAAACATGTTAACAACTAGAGTAAGAAAGTTAATATACATTTTTAAAAACCTTAGGCACATAGCTGACTCAAAAGTCATCAAAATAATTTACTTTGCCTTATGTCAATCGATTATCACATACTGCATAACAAGGGTAGGGGTTGGGGTGGTTCTGAAAGGACAAAAATAATAAAACTGGAACGAGCACAGAGAGCTATACTAAAAGTATCCGCCTCACTTCCCTTTCTTTACCCTACTGTAGAACTATACAAACATTGGAAAGTCCTATCTGCCAGGCAGCTCTTTATTCTACAATGTATTATTTAAAAGCACTCACTCCTACACTATAATTTACAATTGATAAAAGATAAGCGCAGAAATGATCTAGTCTGTTACTACAACACGCATTGCACCAAATTTTCACATAAGTTTTTTATCTTTCTGGGTAATTATCCCATTATTTCATTGCATTATGCAACTCTATTGTAGTTACGTGACTTTCTAGTTGTCCATTAAATGGCATTTTTTTTAGGATAAGGGTGACAAACGAGCACACAGTTCACCTGATAGTAAGTGGATACTGTGGCCCATAGCCATCTACATCTATCTTCGATTAAGAATTAAAATGCAGATGTGTCACTGAGGAGACGGAATGCATTGTTTCAGTAAAAAGGTTTCACACACCCATCATACGAAACAAAGCAGCATTCAACTGCAATTTAACAGCCCTCAATAAAATTGCAGCCCGTGTAGTAGCAGGTAAGAATATCCACTATTCCATATCGTCCCGTGGGTGACGTAGGAAGCGACAGAGGGAAACTGAGGAAGAAAATGGGCAGCAGCATCTTTCTAGTAACAGCAGAAATCAATAAATAATTGCGGTTGCCAACCCGCTTGCCATGCTTGGCAACTATGGCAATATACACCCCATGAGCAACGACACAAAGAAACGGTCCCCAGTCCCCGGCAGACCCGCTATTCCTGGCTACGGTGGCGACCATGGTAACGGCTGGGCAGGAGGTGCTAGGAATCTCCGGTGGAGGTATGGCTGTTACCTAACACGACTCAAAGTAGGCAACATATAATGCAAGCACCCTAAGAACTAACGAGAAAATCCTGGAGCTGGAAGAAGAGATATACTAGTTTCGCTGAGATATTATAGGATTATCGAGATTTCGAATCGTATTGCAAGCAGACACGGCGACTTCCATCCTC